ATGTCACCCCTTAGTCGTCTTTTCTCCAAGCTAAAGAGCCCCAAGCGCTTTAACCTTTACTCAAAGGGAAAGTGTTCCAACCCTTTTATCATTCGAAGCAGACTAAGCAGTGCTTAGGGCACTGGGGCCAAAGGGGCCCCACAAAGTTGGGGAAAACGGGGAAAGGTTTCATTTGTACAGTGTATGGTGTCATCCTACGAATAAATGTTTGTATTGCTGCAACCTGCATTGTCTATCTGATCAGACAGGTCAACCACTAAAATGGAAAGTGTGGAAAGGAGGGGGGCATCCGTGAGCCTTCATCCGCCCCTGCCTGCAAGCTATGCTGCCCCCTCCCCCACAATAGGGCACCGGCTGAAGACAGCACTCACGGGCTTGCCTGTGAAGTCGAAACAGACTGGAAACCAGAAGAGGTGCCGAGCTGTACGCACCCCCCCCTCTCACAAAATTAGATTCTTTTGAGCCGTAGAGCGGGGATACTTTGGAAGCTGGGGTGAAAGCAGGGCCGGCCCAAGCTTATTTTTGCGCCCACCAATTTTCAAAAATAAATGCATTTTAGGAAGAATGAAAAACACAAATAATCAAGAAACTCCCAGAGTACGGGGCCGGGTGCAGCTTGGCGCCCCTAAGGGCCGGCCCGCTCTAGGCGATCGCCTAGTTCGCCTAGTGAGTGAGCCGGCCCTGGGTGGAAGGGAAATGGGGCGAGGGGAAACAACTGTTTGCTGCAGAGTTCACCTTTTCCCTGGCGCATCCCTCTTGCCAGCGTGCTGGCCCCTGACGTCTGACTGCAGTGCACTGGATCTGGCCCCCCCACCAGGGTGTCTGTCCAGGGTCCTGGTGAGCAGAAGGTCCTGCCCACAGAGACGAGCAAGAGAGACCTGTCCAGTTGCCTTCCTTTCTTCATATTCTGAAAGAATGTCGCTGGCCTACGTTTATCCATTGAAGCTCAAAACACGTGCATTTCCTAGGAGGCCTAAACCCGAACCTTTTGGAGCATTCAGGCACCTTTGGGATTCTGACCTAGTGTGGCGGCTGCAGGCACAAAATGGCTGCTGCAAAATGGCTGCCATGCGAGGTAGAGCCAGCAACAAGATGGCTCCCGTGGTATCCCTTCAAGTCACATAGTGAAGATTCTCATGTTGTTGTGGCAGCTGCTGCCAAAGCAACATTAAAAAAAGAAGAAGTATGGAGCAGAGGTCCATCCGTGGCTATTAGCCACAAGGTATAGATAGGGGCTCTGGGGCAAGTGATGCTCTGTCTTCTTGGTGCTTGAGGGGGGGGCAACAGTGGGAGGGCTTCTAATGTCCTGGCCCCACTGGTGGACCTCCTGATGGCCCCTGGTATTTCTGGCCACTGTGTGACACAGAGTGTTGGACGGGATGGGCCTTTGGCCTGATCCAACTTTGGCGTCTCTTATGTTCTTATGTTAAGTCTGCACAGCCAATCAGAAGCTTTGCTGGGCAAAGGTACTCCCTGGCTCCACCCACTTTCTCAAAACACTTGGTGGGCACCAGGAAAGGTATGGGGGACCTCTTCTGTAGATTTACACATTTCCAGATTTCTCTGCCGGAACATGTCGGCTGCAGGATCCGTGGACTGGGATGGCTCCGACTACCCGTGAGGCCAGTTCACATATGACTAGGCGTAAGCATTCACAAGCCACACACCAACTCGGGGGGAGGGGGATGTTAGTACAAACCTGACACAGCCAGAGGTGGTCAAATGGAGCAGAAATATTTAATCAGTAGACTAACCAACAATTTAGTTGGCTATTTCAGGACCATTTTTAACCTCAAAGAGCTGACTACGAAGAGCACCTTTCTTTTATGAATCTACTTTGGATGGATCTAATATTTCGGGATCAGAGTAAAGAGAAAACACTTAAGGTTCCCAAGTTGTCTAACCACAACTGATATTTTCCCTTCAGTAATGATTTCTAGCAATGTTCTCCTATTTATATGTCTTTTTGACATATATGCTGCCTCTCTCTCCCTCTCCACACTTAGTATTTTTTTAATACTCTTTTTTATTAAGTTTAAAATTATACAGCCATATACATTTTTAAACCTTTACAGTCATTTTTGGGAGGTCTTGAACATAGTAAGTTTTCCCCACCATTCGTACATTCTTAACCATCTTTGTACACATTTAGTTATATTTCACTGATGAATTAGCTGGGCAGAAGCAACGGGCATGGCTATGTGCCACGGTTTGATTGTTGGCTTCTAGGCAGCATCTGGCTGTCCATATTCTCAGAGACAGAATACCAGGTCCTGCAAAGCAAAATACCCCACCCACTGTGCTAAGAGTGGAGATTGGAGGCGATGGCTACGTGTTGAGGGAAGGAGGCCGCTGTCCTTGCACGGAGACTTCGTCCCCTACCAAAGTACGAGCAGAGGAATGCACAACATGGGTGACTCCTGAGGACCGAGGGTCAAACTCCAGCTCCAAGAACGGACGGTCACATCACTGGCCATGTTACGTAGACTGTCTCACGGACACAGGCTCTGAGCTCTGACAAAATTCCATTCTGAGTTTGTAGCTGGTTGTGAAAGGACAGCTAGACATATGACAGACGAAGGCAAGACCGTGCCAAGGAGGGACGCTCTTTGCCACCTTTCACAGTCCCTGGAAGGCCTTGAGGAACAAGCCGAGATCAGGAGAAGGAAGAGAGGCTGCTGTTGTCTTTATAAGCATTATGCCCTTTCCCCTGGGCAGACGGGCAAAGATTCACCAACGGAGCCAATTTGCAGCCCCAAGATCCAACCCCTCCTGGATCAGACAAAGGCCAGACTGATTCCGTTTTTCCTCTGATTCCTCCACGCATTTTTTTTGTGCCTTTCATTTTCTGGTTCTTTTGAAACCACTTTTTCTGGAAGCTGATTTTGAGTCACCTTTTTCCTCCCGTGTAATGTTTCTGCTGGGTTTCTTTTTCCTACCCATTCCTACTGACCACCAGCTCACTTTTCAATGCTTGGACTGTCGTCTTTGTCAAACCACTCCCTCTCCCCACCCTGCTCTGAAGAAGAGTGGTTCCAGTTTTTATCTTTTTTTTAAAGATGGCCCTAAAATATCGATACATTGATACAGTGTCATAATGACAGTTGAAGGAGGTTCTCTGAATTCCCAGGAGTCATTCTTTAAAACAAGTATCTAGCCTCTTCCCTCACAGAGAGATGTCTCTTCCCTTATAGCTCAAGGGAGGGAGCTAGAGACTTACTTCTCTTTTAAAATGAAAGCTGGAAATACAGGGAACCTGCTTAAACTATCACAACACTGTATCGATATATCAATATTTTAGGATTTTTAAAAAAGGGTGTGTGTGTGTACTGTGACACCCCCAATCACGGCAACACCCTTCCTTGAAAATCCATTATTGAAGGCACACCTGGAAGAAAATAAACTGACTCCACAACTGTAAGAGTCCACAAGGAGGACAGACATATGGAACAACTTTGCCCAAACCAATTCCAGTTAGAAAATAAACTGACTCCACAACTGTAAGAATCCACAAGGAGGACAGACATATGGGACAACTTTGCCCAAACCATTTCCAGTTCGGGTAATGCTCCCTCTAAGCTGTGGAGTCTTGTGAGCAAAAATTCTACTTTGTGAGCTGCTGGCATTAAAACTGTGAGCGAGCGATTCGGCAACCGTATAAATTAGTTTGCTCTGGAGCTGTTCTTCCTGAGCTAAGACAAAAATGCGTGAGCTGGAGGTAGAAAACTGGGAGCTAGCTCCCACTAACCCAGCTTAAGAGGGAACCCTGGTTGCCAGATCCCCCCCCCCCCCCAGTCACTGGTGGGGAATGAGGAGCCGTTTGTGGATCGACTGCCAAGAAAACAAGGAGCAAGTCGAGCATGTGGAAAAAGCCCGGGAGAGGCTTGCCAATGCCTGCCCTGCCTGCAGTCTTGTGAAGATAAGGGCTACCCTTTGCAATGCACCCCTGTCCCGGGATTGTCACCCCCCCAACCCTCATTGCAACCCCCCCCTTTAATACTGATGGAGGATGTTCCCTGCTTCATTGTCCTTGGCAGGTAGAGGCGCTGGTGGGGGAGCCGAGGTGTTTACACTTCCAAGCCCTCTGGGCCGTTGCTGCCAACGCTGCGGGTTTTCAAATACAGATCTTAAGAAAACAGAATGCCAAGAACAGGCAGCGATTCACCTCTTCCAGTTCTGGAAACGCCAAATGAGCCACTGGGCGAAGAAAGGCCAGGCCAGCAGGAAAAACAAGGTAGGAGGAGTCAGGTGCAAAGGCTGGTGGGGCGGTTCCTGTGAGAGCAAGAGACACAAATGGGGGTTAAAAAAAAACAGGCCCAGAAGGACGAGGCATTGGAAGAAGCAGACTGGCTCCCCCTGCTGACTCCTGCCAAGCCCAGCGCTTGGGACAGTCAAGTTTCTGCAACTGGCACACACTATATCGCTTCATCGATGATCGGAATTTCCCTGCCAGTCCTTTTCCCTTCAAGCTCCCCTGCCAATAAAACAGGGGAAAGGGCATGTCGGTAGCGACCAAGAACTGGTAGCCGTGGAGGCAGGAGGGCCCTTTACAAAGGCTCAGAGGCATCCTTGTTGGTTTGCTTTTTGTTATTAAAGGTAAAGGTCTCCCTTGCTCGAAAGCCAGTCGAATCCGACTCTAGGGTTGCGGTGCTCATCTCCGTTTCCAAGCCGAAGAGCCAGCGCTGTCCAAAGACGTTTCCGTGGTCATGTGGCCGGCATGACTAAACACCAAGGCGCACGGAACGCTGTTCCCTTCCCACCGAAGTGGTCCCTATTTATCTACTTGCAATTTCTTGCTTTCGAACTGCTAGGTTGGCAGGAGCTGGAGCTAGAGACGGGAGCTCACTCCGTCATGCGACACCCGGGTCTCGAACTGCTGAACTACCGACCTTCCACAGCCTGCAGTTCAGCGTCTTAACCACTTGAGCCACCGCAGCTCCTTTTTGTTATTACTTCCTCTCTTTTGGGGGCTGAAGTCTAGTGTTCAAAATAGGTCCCGAAGCCAAGCTCTGGCTTCAATTACGACTCCAGCACCTGCAGCCATCCCCTCTCACCTGTTCAGATGTCAGGTTGTACCAATGTGGGGGCTGCACTTGGAGTACCACCCACAGCATGTCACGTGAACACATGAAGCTGCTTTGTACTGAATCACACACACACACACCCTGGGTCCGTCAAAGTCCGTCTCGTCTACTCAGACTGGCAGGGGCTCTCCAGGGGCTCAGGCAGAGGTCTTTCCCATCACCTCCTGCCAGGTCCTTTTAACTGGAGATGCCAGGGATTGAACCTGGGACCTTCTGCAGGCCAAGCAGAGGCTCTACCACTGAGCCATGGCCCCTCTCCTTGGCTCTCCACAGTCTCAGGCAGAGGTCTTTCCGATCACCTAGTACCTGATCCCTGTAACTAGAGGTGCCAGGGATTGAACCAGGGACCTTCTGCACACCAAGCAGATGCTTTACCACTGAGCCACGGCCCCTCTTTACAGCTCTCCAGGGTCTCAGGGCAGAGGTCTTTCCCATCACCTCCTGCCTGGTCCTTTTAACTAGAGATGCCAGGGATCGAACTTGGGACCTTCTCCATGCCAGGCAGAGGTTCTTCCACTGAGCCACATCCCCTCCCAAAGGCGTCACCCTACCTTTGCCACATGCAGTTCGCCGTTCTGGCAGTTTGCCTTGGATGCCTGGCCCTGGAAGCAAGCAAGAAAGCACTCAGAGAGCATCGTGTCTTCTATCGCTATTTCACTGCTATTTACTGTCAGGGAGGACTGCCAAGATGGGGGGGGGGCAGGGAAGGGGGACAACTTCCCACTGGGGTCCTGGTTTCCCAGGGGCCCCATAAGAACATAAGAGAAGCCAATGTTGGATCAGGCCAATGGCCCATCCAGTCCAACACTCTGTGTCACACAGTGGCCAAAAATACCAGGTGCCATCAGGAGGTCCACCAGTGGGGCCAGGACACTAGAAGCCCTCCCACTGTTGCCCCCGCCCCCACCCCAAGCACCAAGAATACAGCACATCACTTGCCCCAGACTGAGAGTTCCTATCTACACCTTGTGGCTAATAGCCACTGATGGACCTCTGCTCCATATGCTTATCTAATTCCCTCTTGAAGCCGTCCAAGCTTGTAGCCGCCACCTCCTCCTGTGGCAGTGAATTCCATGTGATAATCACTCTTTGGGTGAAGAAGTACTTCCTTTTATCTGTTCTAACCCGACTGCTCAGCAATTTCATGGAGTGCCCACAAGTTCTTGTATTGTGAGAAAGGGAGAAAAGTACCTCTTTCTCTACCTCCTCTATCCCATGCATAATCTAATAAACCTCGATCATGTCACCCCTCAGCCGTCGTTTCTCCAAGCAAAAGAGCCCCAAGCGCTTTAACCTTTCTTCATAGGGAAAGTGTTCCAACCCTTTTATCGTTCTAATTGCCCTTTTCTGCACTTTTTCCAATGCTATAATATCCTTTCTGAGGTGTGGTGACCAGAACTGTACACAGTACAAGCAAGCGTGGAGCTGGGCATGTCAGGCAATTGGATCTGTGCGATATTTGGGTTGGGTCTCCATGATATAACAGGATCCCAAAGAGACTTTTTTTTTGGGGGGGGGGGCAGTATGTTGACTCTCAGCAACTCCGTCTTCAGCTGATTTTCATACAGATCGAATGTACGCTATCCCAAATCAAGGGTGCGCTGTCCCCGTCCGTGTTTTTGGGGCCACAACAGGAAGTAAACATTTAGAAAGGGATGTGAAAACTGGATCCCAGGGCCCTTCTGTACCGAATTGCACAACACCTTGCCTTTGGCATTAGTCTTGTGCCCAGCAGTGGACTGGGAGCAAGTCAAACAGAGGGACCCCTGCAGAGCGGTGCTGCGGACAACCCGGGGGAGGTTCAGTTTGGGTCCCACCTGCAGTGGCAACAATTTGCCCGCGTTGCAGGGGGCTGGCAGCCCGCCAGGACCCTCCCCTGGGATGTTTCAAAGGGCCAAATCCACTCCGCTTTGCATTTCCCTCTCAGGGGTTTGTTGTTGTTGTTCAGTCGCACAGTCGAGTCCGACTCTTTGCGACCCCATGGACCAGATCACGCCAGGCCTTCCTGTCTTCTACCATCCTCTGAAGTTGGCTCAATTTCATGTTCGTTGCATCGATGACACTGTCTAACCATCTCATCCTTTGCTGTCCCCGTCTTCTTTGACCTTCAGTCTTTCCCAGCATCAGGGTCTTCTCCAGGGAGTGCTCCCTTCTCATTGGGTGGCCAAAGTATCTGAGCTTCAGCTTCAGTGTCTGGCCTTCCAGGGAACAGTCAGGGTTGATTTCTTTTAGGATTGACTGATTTGATCTCCTTGCAGTCCAAGGGACTCTCGAGAGTCTTCTCCAGCACCATAGTTCAAAAGGATCTATTCTTCGGCGCTCGGCCTTCCTTATAGTCCAACTCTCGCCGCCATACGTGACTACTGGGAATACCATTGCTTTGACCATGTGGACTTTTGTTGGCAGGGTGATGTCTCTACTTTTTATCATGCTGTTGAGGTTCGCCATCGCTTTCCTCCCAAGGAGCAGGCGTCTTTCAGAGGCTTTGGGCACCTCTGGAATTCTGACACAAGAGAGCCGCTGCAGTGAAGATCATTGTGGTGTGTGGTAGCGGCTGCTGCCCAGGCAATGTCTTAGAGCCAATCAAACCATCGCTGGGCAAAAGCCCCACCAGGCCATGTCCACTTTCTGGGTGAGCATTCGGAAAGGTGTTGGCGGGCTACCATGACACCCGTGGCCACCACGATGGGGACCCTCACCTTAAAAAAACACGTCTGATTGATGGAGAGATGAACTTACATGCAAAAAGGTATTTCTGTTCTTTTGCATAGGCCTGCCTATTTTGAAGTTTGGTGTCATAGTTAAGTGCGCGGACTCTAATCTGGGAGAACCAGGTTTGATTCCCCACTCCTCCACTTGCAGCTGCTGGATGACCTTGGGCAAGCCATAGTTCTGTCAGAGCTGTTCTCTCAGGAGCAGTTCTCGAGTGAGCTCTCTCAGCCCCACCTACCTCACAGGCAATGTTCCCTGTAAGCTATGGAGCTCTGTGAGCAAAAATTCTACTCTATGAGCTACTGGCATTAACGTAGTGAGCAGGAGATTTGGCTGCTGCATAAATTAGTTTGCTTTGGAGCCATCCTTCCTGAGCTAAGACAAAAATGTGTGAGCCAGAGGCTAAAAACCTGTGAGCTAGCTCACACCAACTCAGCTTAGAGGGAACACTGCTCACAGGGTGTCTGTTGTGGGGAGGGGAAGGGGAAGGAGTTTGGAAGCCGCTCTGAGACTCCGAGTGAAGGGCAAAGGTATAAATCCAGCCTCCTCCTCCTCCTCCTTTGCAGAGACATTATCTTTCCATCTTTTCTCCTCTTTTGCCAAATTCTGCCCTGCCCCAGTTCAGCAGTGCTAAATGGGTACACGTCTGGCTGTGCACGAGTTTGTTAAGACTGGTACTATTTTAACGATTTAAAAAACACGCATATTCAGCCTGCTCACAGGATGAAAATGTAGCCTGTCCTGGAACCTGGCTGTGGTGGGCAAGCTCAGAGAGCAGGCAGCGTGGGCACACACAAGAAAAGTCCCGCGGAGGCAGGCAGAGGCAACCGCATCCCAGAGGATGGCCAGCTGACAGCTGACCCAGCTCTATTGCTAAAGCTAAGCCAGTGTCACCCTGCCTCTTCGTGAACATGTACAGAGAGGCAACAGAAATCCTAGAGCTTGGTAAGGCTCAAAAGTGCCACCGACAGCATCTGGGATCTCGGACCCCTTGAGATTCCAAGAGAGCCAGTCTGGTGTAGTGGTTAAGTGCGCGGACTCTATAATCTGGGAGAACCAGGTTTGATTCCCCCACTCCTCCACATGCAGCTGCTGGTGTGACCTTGGGTCAGTCACAAGTTCTCTCAGAGCTGTTCTCTCAAGAGCTCTCTCAGCCCCACCCACCTCACAGGGTGTCTGTTGTGGGGAGGGGAAGGAATAGGTGTTTGTAAGCCGCTCTGAGACACCTTTGAGTAGTGAAGGGCGGGGTATCAATCCAATCTCCTCTTCTTCTTCTTCTTCTTCTACCTCACAGGGTGTCTGTGGTGGGGAGGGGAAGGGAAAGGAGTTTGTGAGCCGCTCTGAGACACCTTTGAGTAGTGAAGGGCAGGGTATGAATCCAGTCTCTTCTTCTTCTTCTTCTTCATTAGAATGAGGGACGCCCTTCCATTCCACACCAGACCATCTTGGCAGACACTGGGTGCGGTCAGACGGGCCGTTTAGTCCACTTTCGGCTAGCCTCATAAACAGATTTTATCTGCACGATTACATAGTCAACATCTGCCTTTAAAGTTTAAAGGGAAGTGTTACAGCAGTCGGGCTGAAGTGGAAATTGCTGTTCTGCGCAGGCGTGAAAAGTTTAGTTCTACAGATGGCTTGCCTGTGCACATGTCCAAACAGAGAGAGAGAAAAACAACAGCGAAGATGGCGGGGAGCGATGTAGCTGCGCAGCGATCCGGAGCAAGGAGGTGAGTGTGATCGCGATACTCCAGGTTAAAGAAGACCGCATCGGGGTCGGAGCAATTTAAACCGCTCCCAGCACACGCCGTCTGACCGTGAGGTAGGTGGGGCTGAGAGAGCTCTGACAGAAACTGCTCTTTTTCAAGGACGGCTCTTATCAGAACTATGGCTTGCCGAAGGTCATCCAGCAGCTGCAAGTGGAGGAGTGGGGAATCAAACCCGGTTCTCCCAGATTAGAGTCCGCGCACTTAACCACTACACCAAACTGGCTCTCAAGAGGGAAACTTGAGGTCAAAACAAGGGAGACACAGGTGGTAGTGTGAATGGAACCTGAAGCATCTCGATGGTTTGAGCCCTACAGTCAGAATGTTGTCCGGTTCACCCAGACCTCTTGCAACTTTTGATAATGCCGAAATGTTTTCACCAGTTAAAAGATTCCTATATTTAGGGAGCCAGTTCTTTCCACTACAGGGATATTTTTTGTTTTCCCAAATCTGACAATCCATTGCCAGAGAATCTTAAGAGATTTATGTTCTGAGGCTGCATGAAGGAGCACGCATTGAAGAGAACAAAGGACTGTGGATTTTATTGATCAGCTATCTTTTATCATTCACCTTCGACAATCCCTGTAGGGGCAGCATCGCCACTTTCTGGCATTTCCCTTTTTCATCAGTCACTTGGAGCTCTTATAAATAAATGTGTAAAACCAGGTCTATTTTTGGGCAGGAACGCACAGGAACAGAGTTCCGGCTGGCTCCCAAGTTGGCCACACCCAGCAGGAACTCATTAGCATAATAGGCCACTCCCAACAGCAGAAACTCATTAGGATTGGCTACATTCGGGGTGTGTGGCCTAACATGCAAAGGAGTTCCTGCTACAAAAAAAGGCCCTGGGTTTTGACAACAAGCAAGGTAAACAGAATAAGAAGCAAAAGGTGGGTGTGGCTGGATGAGCACACTTCTGCTAACACGGGAAATGTGGCCTAATATGCTAATGAGCTGCACTGCCGTGGGTGTGGCCTAATATGCTAATGCATCCCTGCTGGGCTTTTTCTGCAAAAAAAGCCCTGTGTAAAGCAAATAAATCCCCCCCCCCGTTCAACCATGAACGACATACCTGCAAAGTGACCAAGGATTCCAGGCAGCTGAGTCTCTGCATCACTTCCTTGATGTCCTCCTGCAAGGCTTGGATGGTGCTCCTCATGTGTAGATCCACTTCCTGCTGGACTGGGGCCCTTGCCCTGGTCTCTTCAGTGACTGGGGGGCTGCTGCCCAAGTCCTTCTCCGCAGGGGCGGATTGCAGATCTATGATAAAACACAGAGCCAGCACAGTGTAGTGGTTAAGAGTGCGGGACTAGACGCCGGGAGCCCCCGGTTCGAATCCTCACTGGTGCCGTGGAAGCTGGCTGGGTGACCCTGGGCCAGTCACACTCTCTCAGCCTGGCCTACCTCACGGGGTCGTAGTGAGGATAAAATGGAGGAGAGGGGAATGATGTAAGCTGCTTTCGGTCCCCATTCGGGTGAAAGGCAGGATATAAATAAAGTATATCAATTCTAAAAGAACACTGCGGGGACAAGAGAAATCTGCAAAAGGAAAAATTCCACACCCAAGATGTTCAAAGGGAGCGGCATTCACATGTGATTCTGGAGACCAGGGTTCATCTGTCTAATGAGTAGGGCTATTTTGGGGCAGGAACGCACAGGAACGGAGTTCTGGCTGGCTTCCGAGCCCACCCCTCCCCTCCCCTCCCTCGCCAAAAGCCCTGCTGTTGCGGTATTTGAGCACATAGATTTTGAGCGATTTTGCACTAGAGCTGCCTCGCGGCGCAGCTGCCGTTTGCCCCAACACAAATATGTCAATTTCAGACCCGAAGTTGCGGGGCTGCATTTTGACTCGCGGCTTCGCCCGATTTCCTCCGCAGTTTCGTGATCCTGGTTTTTGAGGATCACGAAACTGCGGAGGAAATCGGGCGAAGCCACGGGTCAAATGCAGCCCCGCGGCCTAGGGTGTGAAATTGACAAATAGTGTCAGGGCAAACGGCGGCTGCGCCGCGAGGCAGCTCTAGTGCGAAATCGCCCTTCGTGTCAAAAATTGCTTCTTTTGCAATTCCGAATTTCACCACTAGATGCCTCTGCTGTGCTTCCCCACTAACTGGTCACTGCAGTGCCTTACTTCTCAACGCTCACTGACAGACCACTGATTTGAGAAAAGACTGAGCTTGGGGTCCCACTTAGCTGTGGGACGTTTGCCACATACAGTCCTTTTTCCTCATTTTGAGGCTTGGTTTCAGTGTCCGAGGAGCTGCGGTGGCTCAAGTGGTTAAGACGCTGAACTGCAGGCTGTGTATCATAGATCTGTGTAGTTCATCAGGTCGAGACCCGAGTGTGCCGCATGACGGAGTGAGCTCCCGTCTCTAGTTCCAGCTCCTGCCAACCTAGCAGTTCGAAAGCAAGACATTGCAAGTAGATAAATAGGTACCACTTCGGTGGGAAGGTAACAGCATTCCGTGCGCCATGGTGTTTAGTCATGCCGGCCACATGACCACGGAAATGTCTTTGGACAGCGCTGGCTCTTCGGCTTTGAAACGGAGATGAGCACCGCAACCCTAGAGTCGGATTCGACTGGCTTTTGAGCAAGGGAACCTTTACCTTTACCTTCAGTGTCCGAAGCAGGTAGAAGAATCAGGGGTGTGGCCTAATAGGCGAATGAGTTTCTGCTGTTGGGTGTGGCCTGTTATGCTAATGAGTTCCTGCTGCGCTTTTTCTACCCAAAAAAGCCCTGCTAATGAGAGACGCCAGGACTGAGCTCTCTCTCCCAGGACGTTTTGTCCGCAAGCATGGAAAACTCACCCTCTTCTGAAATATCACGTCTAATACCTTTTTTTTGGTGCACGTATTCTAATTTTTATTATCTTATCACTTCTCATTGTTTGACAGCTGTCTCGTGCTATTCGACTGCATTGTCTTATACCAAGGGGGGAGGGTGTCCCCAGCCTTTTTGAGCCTGTGCACACCTCTGGAATTCTGACCCAGGGTGGTGGGGGGCGCAAACACAAAAGGGCTGGTGCAGGAGGTGGAGCCACACACACACACACACACACACACAGAAGAAGCCCAAGAGCAGGGGAGAAGAGGAACAATTAAAAAAACCCACACTGGTTATCATATGTGGTGGACATGTGAAAAGGCAAAAATGTTTTGGGCTGAGATACATGCAGAAATGGAAAAAAATGTGAAATGTAAGTTCAAGAAAGAACCGGAAATACTACTTTTGGGACTGAAAATGGAAGAAGTCAACATGGCAAAAAGGACATTGATGTGGTACATGATCACGACTGCCAGAATGACGTATGCTCAATGTTGGAAACAAGATAAGGTCCCTGAAATAGGGGAATGGATTAAAAATTTACTTTTTATGGCTGAAATGGACAAAATGACAAGGAAACTTAATAATTTGGAAGCGGAAGAATTTTTTGCAGACTGGATAGATTTTAAAGACTATTTGGAGAAATACTGGGATGTAAAGGACAATTTACTTTGCTTTGAGAATTGTTGAAAATCAGAATAGTAGAAAATGGATAAATATATAAGACTAACAGTTGAAGATTAAGTTACCTGTGGATGTGAATAAGGAGATAAGGAGGTAGGAAGAAAATTTAAGAATTGGGCAGGGTTGGAGCACTGTGGGAAGCCGAGAAGGGGGGGGAGGGAGGAGGGAAGGATATATAATTGTATAAGTTTTGATATATGTTTGAACATTTCTTTGTTATTATATCCTAATAAATTGGGTTTTTTTGGGGGGGAAAACCACACTGGGAAAGAGGGGCGAGAAAGAATAAAACGACCACTGTTATAGCAGCTGCCACTGAAAAAAATAATATTGTTTTAATCTGCATAGCCAATCAGAAGCTCTGATGTGGGGCAGCCCCAACCACTGTCTAGAAACACTTGGTGGGGCACCAAGAAAGGCCCCACGCTGGGGACCCCCCCCCTTCACCCGCCTTGCGTCTCAGTGAGAAAAGCTGGCTATAAATAAATAAAGCAATAAACGAACATTCCACATGGATCCACATTGAGGAGGGGATAGACACTGGGTCCCTCGCTAGGCTTTTCTCTGACCTGACCCTCACCCCTTTGCCACCAAGGGCGCTGCGAGGGTCCCAATGCATCAGAAATAAGGTCCTGATTTCTAGCAGGAGAGGGGCTGCGGTTTAGGCTTGCCTCTGGGATTTACGTCTCCGGCCATACACCCCTAACGATGGTGCTGTTTGCACCCAGAAGGCCTGCATGTCAATCCCAGCCATCACAACACAGATCTCTGCCCGAGGCTCACTGTCATAACCCGGGGTCATTTCCTGCAGGAGCGCACAGGAGCGGAGCTCCGGCACTAAAGAGGCCAGGGGGCGGGTACATGCAACAAGCACCGCCCCCTGCTCCCAGCAGCCCTCAGTCAGAGCAAGAAGCAGCCAGGTAAGTTGCGAGCACCCCCGGTCCAAAACAGTCCAGTGGTACCTTTAAGACCAAGTTTTATTCAGGTACAAGCTCTCCCTCCTCTGCGAGGACAGATCTGCACGTTCCCCCCCCAATAGCTAGCAATCCAAAACAGTCCAGTGGCACCTTTAAGGCCAAGGTTTATTCAGGTACACTTCGGTGGGAAGGTCACAGCGTTCCGTGCGCCTTGGTGTCTAGTCATGCCGGCCACATGACCACGGAAACGTCTTCGGACAGCGCTGGCTCTTCGGCTTTGAAACGGAGATGAGCACCGCATCCCTAGAGTTGGATTTGACTGGCTTTCAAGCAAGGGAACCTTTACCTTTCTGCTTGTATGTGTCTGGAAGCGGTGCTCAGAGGCGGCCGCTGCCCAGGCAGAAGCATTATGCCAACTTAAACAAGAAAGTACGGGGGGGAGGAGGGAAGCGGCCGAGAGACCGGGAGACAGACGGACGGGAGGGGAGAGGAACGGCCGGAAGCTGGCAGCGTCAGCTTCACCAGGTCAGTTATTAATTAACCTCTCTCAAGGCCAGGAAGTTCCAAACGGACGAGAAGAGGATCCCAACCTAACAGGGCGTTCCTGTGTGCGGGGTGGGGAGGCAGAGAGAGGATTCGCGGGCATTCTCCCTGTGCCTTCTCAGACACAGGGTGCCCTGCAATGCCAGCTCAGCCCCAAGGTGAACTTGAAGACCCTGCAGCCTGCCTCAGGCAGAGACATTAGAGCCAGTCGAAAAGAGCAAGAGTCCAGGAGCACCTTAAAGAAACAACACTGGCGAACTTGCTCAAGATGGGTGGCCCTGCTAGCCTGTCTGCAGCAGCAGAAAAGAGCAAGAGTCCAGGAGCACCTTAAAGGCTAACTGAAGGTGGCAGGGGAGGAGGTTTCGTGAGCCATGGCTCACTTCTTCCGATAATGGACTCTTGCTCTTTTCTACTGCTACAGACAGACAAACACGGCTACCCAGCTCGAGCACGTTCGCCAGTGTTGTTTCGGTCTGGAGGTGGCTTTGAGCAACCTTGGTTTGAGTAGTTTGGTGTAGAGGCTAAGTGCACGGACTCTAATCTGGGAGAACCAGGTTTGATTCCCCACTCCTTCACTTGCACCTGCTGGATGGCCTTGGGCAAGCCGTAGTTCTATCAGAGCTGTCCTCTCAAGGACAGTTCTCGAAAGAGCTCTCTCAGCCCCACTGACCTCACAGGGTGTCTGTTGTGGGGAGGGGAAGGGAAAGGAGTTTGTAATCCGCTCTGAGACTCCCTTGGGTAGTGAAGGGTGGGGTATAAATCCAATCTCTTCTTCTTCTTCTTTCTTCTTCTTCTTGCAAACAGCAGTGGGGGCAGTTGGGTGGGAAAGCAAACTGGTGCCTTTAGGATGGACCCAGACACTCTCTGAGCAGTTTTCCTAGAATGGCTGCTTGAGGACTGGCACCACAAAAAAGCCCAGAGTCCAGCACAGCAGCTCTAAAAAGGTAAAGGTAAAGGTTCCCTTGCTCGAAAGCCAGTCGAGTCCGACTCTAAGGTTGCGGTGCTCATCTCCGTTTCCAAGCCGAAGAGCCAGCGCTGTCCGAAGACGTTTCCGTGGTCATGTGGCTGGCATGACTAAACACCAAGGCACACGGAACGCTGTTCCCTTCCCACCAAAGTTGCTCCTATTTATCTACTTGCAATTTCTTGCTTTCGAACTGCTAGGTTGGCAGGAGCTGGAACTAGAGACGGGAGCTCACTCCGTCATGCGGCACACTCGGGTCTTGAACTGCTGAACTACTGACCTTCCACAGCCTGCAGTTCAGCGTCTTAACCACTTGAGCCACCGTAAAATCCGATGATCAAAGGGAGTGAAAGCAGCATGTGATGCAGAGGGGAATTTCTGTTCCAGTGTGGGTTTGGTAAAATAACGGAGGAGAAAGCCAGTGCAGAACCGCCCTAATGTTAATTCAGATCCAGGTTAGGTACCTACCGCTTTTGCTCAGCTCTTCTTCCCTGGTTGCGACTGGCACGTGCACGGGAGGTGGGTGCTCCCTTGCCTCTCCCGCTTGAATCTTGTGAAGATTGACCACGGAGGAGCTTTCCTCTGTCGGCAGCCTCCTGACCTGTAACAAAAGAGAGCGTGCTACTCGACAATTGGTGTCCACCAGTTTCATACCACTTTTAACACTCGTGGCTTCCCCCAGAGTGTCCTGGGGACTTTAATACAGGGGGTGTATGGATGGTTGCGTGACTGCGTCACAGATCCCTCGCTTCCTCTTTGGGGGATCTTTAGAAAGAGGACATCTTTGGGGAAACAGTTTAAGGGTCGCACAGCTGTATCTCACTTCTTCTGCAGGGTGAGTTCTGCTTTCCCGTGCTTCCACTCCTCTCTTGCGGTATTTATTAGGGTTGCCACCTCTGGGTTGGGAAACAGCTGGAGATTCGGAGGGTGGGGTTTGATGAGGGGGGAGAGACTTCAAATGGGATATAATCAGGGCTCCCAGGCGGCGCCTAGAGATCTCCCACTATTACAATTGATCTCCAGCCGATCAGAATCCGTCCCCCTGGAGAAAAGGGCTGCTTTGGACAGTGGACTCCGTGGCGTCACACCTCACCCCATCTCTCCCTCCCCAAACCCTTAGGGAAGTTTGCCATTTGAAATGTATGGTAGACCTAGTCACATCATAGTCTAGAATTGGCGATTCCCAGTCACCACAACTTAAACGCAGTAGCGTGGCACCAATATAGTGTATGAACTAATACTAAGAAACATTGAAACATTGCCTTCAGGACCTCAAGATTGTGATGAATCAACAACAGACAAACCTGATGAAGAATACGCAAACGAAATGATTACTTTTTGTTGTTCAGTCGCACAGTCGAGTCCGACTCTCCGCGACCCCATGGACCAGATCACGCCAGGCCCTCCTGTCTTCCGCCGTCCTCTGAAGTTGGCTCAGTTTCATGTTCGTTGCATCGATGACACTGTCTAACCATCTCATCCTTTGCCGTCCCCGTCTTCTTTGACCTTCAATCTTTCCCAGCATCAGGGTCTTCTCCTGTGAGGGCTCCCTTCTCATTGGGTGGCCAAAGTATTTGAACTTCAGTTTCATTATTTGGCCTTCCAGGGAACAGTCAGGGTTGATTTCTTTTAGGATTGACTGATTTGATCTTCTTGCTTCTTGCTTACTAGCAGGGCTGTTTTTGGGCAGGAACGCACAGGAACGGAGTTCTGTCTGGCTCCCAAGTTGGCCACGCCCAGCAGGAACTCATTAGCATAATAGGCCACACCCAACAGCATAAACTCCTTAGGATTGGCTACAATTAGGGGTATGTGGCCTAACATGCAAAAAGCCCTGGTAAAGGTAAAGAGAAAAAGAAGCAAAAGGTGGGTGTGGCTGGATGACCACACTTCTGGTAGCATGGGGGTGTGGCCTAATATGCGAATGAGCTGTGCTGTCAGGGTGTGGCCTAATATGCTAATGAGTTCCTGCTGTTGGGTATGGCCTATTATGCTAATGAGTTCCTGCTAGGCTTTTTCTACAAAAAAAGCCCTGCTTACTAGAATGCTGTTATTTGTCTTAGTTGTTTTTGTAATTAGTATATTAGATTAGGACCTGGTGCCTAAGAGAAGACCTCGTTATTGGCTGCAAATATTTCTATAGAAGTGACATCATTCTGAATGTACTGTTGAGCTTCATGGCTAATGCTTAAGTTGTATTTTTGTTAATGAATCATTCTAAAAATACACTAAAAATTCAGGCAGGCTTTTGGCTGTTTTAATAATTTTTTCCCCACGCAACTATAAGAAGTTTATTTGATGCTGTGACAGAATTGCACAGAAAAGCAGTCTTTTCTGAAATGCTGCTTGTATCAGAGAGTCAAGAAGTTCAAGAAGTTTATCTTCCTTGGAGAGTACAGCTTAGGTGATTGGCTGCTCTGCTCAGTCTCTGATTGGCCAGCACGAGCTGGCAGAGAAAATAAAACAGCCGATCAAGAGGGAAAAGAGGTATTTTCGCCTTTGGCCTTCACAATTTGATCTTTGGTCTTTGCAAATTGGTCTTTCGCTGATTGTTTCGAAATCTGACGTCTGGAGCAGTAGCCAGAGGGTTTGGCTTCTGAGGGAAGAGACATTTGGGGAGCGAGTGTTTTCTGACAAGCAATAGTCAGAAAAGCATTTCTACAGAAATAAGAAAAAAAAAACCCCACTGACTAATATATATTAACACTGCTCTGAAGGAGAACTTAGATTCTCAGTAAGCAAAGCTACAGAACAACCTTATACAGACAAGGATACTGGAGAAGGATTGGAAGAAAGTCTGGGTAGTCAGTCAGGGCTCTTTTTGTAGAAAAAGCCCAGCAGGTACACATTAGCATAATAGGCCACACCCAACAGCAGGAACTCATTAGCATATTGGGCCACACCCCTGACAGCACAGCTCATTAGCACATTGGGACACACCCCCATGTTACCAGAAGTGTGGTCATCCAGCCACACCCACCTTTTGCTTCTTATTCTGTTTACCTTGTCCAGGGCTTTTTTTGTAGCAGGAACTCCTTTGCATGTTAGGCCACACAGCCCTAACGTAGCCAATCCTAATGGGTTTCTGCTGTTGGGTGTGGCCTATTATGCTAATGAGTTCCTGCTGGGCATGGCCAACTTGGGAGCCAGCCGGAACTCCGTTCCTGTGCGTTCCTGCCCAAAAATAGCCCCGGTCAGAGTGAATTCCCAGAGAAACCAAATAGTAAAAGGAGTTATTGCTTCTTAGGGACAAGGTGAATAACTTCTTGCCGGTGAAAGGGGTTGGGAAGAGAACCCTGGTCTGTGATAAAGGAGAATAGCTTAGACACCCTCAGGAGTTAATGAAAAGCTGCATTATCTAAAGGAAAACCTGTAATATCTGAAGGAAGAAATCTAGAAACATCAGTAAGAACTGTGTTGTGCTGAAATATACTCAACCCAGTACCTCAGAAAGAAAGAAAGAAAGAAAGAAAGAAAGAAAGAAAGAAAGAAAGAAAGAAAGAAAGAAAGAAAGACAGGCAGGCCGGCCCCGGTCACACGGGCAGGAAAATGCGGGGGGAAGCGTGGCTGTTTGCCCCGGAGCAAAATAACACGCGGTTGCGCGATCAGACGTCCCGTAGAGGTCCCATCCAGGTCCCGTGGTTAGGGGGAAGGTGCCGATCACAGGACAATCCTGCAGCGCGGCAAAGAAGCGGCCTCTCTAGCAAAAGGCTCCGCGGGTTTAACCCCTTCCAGGGCTGCAGAGGAATGCAAACTGTGTCCTCCGTCCGGTTCCCTCCAGGAGGAACTTCAGCTGGGCCGCCGTCCCACCACGCCCCTCCTGCACCTCCCCCTCTGCCACCCGGTGCAGAGAGTTCCTCTCGAGCAGGCCGAGCCAGGAGTGTGGGAGGGTACGGAAAAGAGGAGGGGGCTGTGTTGTTTGTTTTTAAACGAAGTGTGCGCATGCGCCGTTGGGTGCTTGTGCGCATCCCGTGGAGACTTGGGGAAAAAAACCTTTTAGCGACGGGACATGGGCGGGC